CTGATTTTCGATTATCTACAAAGTCAAAGAGTATGTAGAGATGAATATGGAGAGAATCGTAAATGGCAAATGAAGGAATAAATCCGAAAATGGTAAGTCAAAATTGGGAAGGAAAAAAAAAACGCATGTAGATTTTAAGAACCGAATTTATAGCGAACCACGATATGTATATTATTAGATTTTTATTTTAACCAAACAGAAAAGTTTAAATGTTTACTTATATGGAGACTGAAACCATCAGTTATAACAAAACAGAATGCAGTAAATTGATCGGGCAAGAGACCACAAAATGATGTAAATAGCCAGGAAGGGTAATCCAAGAAAATCATTTGAAATTTAAGAAAGAAACGAATGTATCTAAAAAAAAATCTATTTCCTGAATAGAATGCTAAAGTAACGCGGGAAGTCCATGTCACTCAATCTCTATAGAGACACAACAGATTCTACTCGCATAACAACTTAATCGATATAAAATAATTGTAATTATAATACTTGTCATGTCAAAATACTGATTCTGTAGCGACTCCAAAATGTTCAATGATGATTTTTGTCAAGACCAAGACTTTTTTTCACTATTGATTTTAGGAAGTGGTTGTATAACGCTGAAAGTTTAGATATTTCTGAACAGGTTTGACGCCATACATAACATTTACATGAGACTCTCGATCTGACGAAGATTTTTAAGACCCTAACTCAAATTTCCAGGTTGATATTTTGGTTTCGTAACAATTTGTGAAGTCAGGCAAAACTACTTCTGGGTTCAATTATTATTAGTGATCCTTTAAATGCATTAGTTAGTAAAAATAATCTTTGATGTGATTAAAGGTATTTTCATTTAACGTTTTGTTCATGGAGAAAAAAGAATTTGCCAAGATTTGAAAATATTTATTAAATAAATGGCACAGATTATAAATTCCTTTGTATATAAGAACATTATAAAAAAAAACAAGTTTTGCACAAAAATAAAAAATAAATATTGAAACGTAATCATCAATATTTAAAAAAAAATGCATTATTTCAAAACATTCAGTGTGAGTACAAAAAGCAAGTGTAAAAAAATGAAATTAACTGTTAAGATTGAACTAAAATGTCAGTAAAAGAAAACTGTTGGCATGAAAATAGTACTGTAGTCTAAGCCAGAAAATGTCGCTAAAAGAAACACGGGATTAATTTTGCATGAAGTTTTTTTGTTTTTTTTTAATTGAAAATTGATCACCAAAGTCGTATTGAAAATCGTGTTCAAATAAATTAATAAACATTTCCATATAATCCACTCAAGTCCAAAGTCATAACACAATATTCAGTTATAAGAAAACATCTTTTGGGAGTATTTTGCATATTTTCTATCCAAGAATGGAGTTTATAAGAACTTTTCAACTAGGCTATCTGATTTCTAAACATTAAAGGCACAGACTAGCATAATTTTCAAGCAAAACTACTGACACATTTTTATATTGGAAAAAAATGTCTTTTACGTGATTTGTTGGGCGTATATACCTGTAATTGATAGAAAGTGTCAAAATTATTTTCTCAGCAGTCGAGCTATGTCAAGTTGTAAAATTTCAGAAAAACAAATTAAGGATCAGATCCTCAGAAAAGTATTTCAGCGGGTAATTAAGAGATCAACTAATAAATAATCAACGTACCTGTAATTATAGGACATTCAGGATTGCACTGGCGTTAGAAAACCATGAGAATACATGTTTGTCTCATTGTTTATGGACAAAAGATTTGCAAAAAAAAAATCATTATTGTCAAAATTTTCCACAAGTTTTTAAAACTGACACTGGCATTATTTTTTAATTGTTTTATATTCTTTTTTATCCATGTGTCGTGTCCTGTCAGCATTTGGCGATCATGGCTCTCCACAATTTCCTGACTTTTGTCGCTCTTAATAAATTTTGTCCTTTGCTATCTCCACTAATCCTTGTTCTCGATAGGGAGTTTATTCGTTTTCATCTGTCCAACTTGCCTTCAATCTATCCTGTGAGTATGAAATTTCTCAAACCCTCTTTCCTCATTATGCACCTAGAGATTTTAATTGTCTCTTTTTGATGTTAAGTTTAAGTGTTTTTTTGTTTCCATTTTCTATAAAACTTCGTCGTTTCTCAAAGTGCATAGTATTCTCTTTAATCTTCTGTAGAAACAGATTTCTGTTGCTTCAAGTCTCTTTTTCATTTGTGAAATTGTCCAACATTCACTCCCGTATAAAAGGACTAATATTACGTAACAGTTCAGTACATTTTTCTTTGTTTCTAATAAAACTGTCAAGTTTTTAATTCTTTACTTAGCATTTTTGGCTATCCCACTGGGCCTTCGGATTTCTACGTCGCACTTTCCGTCATTTGTTAAAACGTTTCCCAAATATTTAAATTGTTGTACCTGTTTCGTTTTTCGTATATCCAATTTGTAATTAGTTTGTCGAGGTATTCCTTTTGCTGACAACCATGCATTCCAGCTTCTTGCAATTCATACTTTGCCCTTTCTTCTCGCTTTGAGTCACTTCTTGTTTCCTTTCTGTGTCTGCTTCATCACTGTTTCATATAAATATCTTATGTTGTTAAGCTTGTAGCCGCCAATAATTATTGGCTTCATATTAGAAAACCATATTGATTGATTGAGACTGATTCCTTATATAAAGTCTGTTTCTAATAAAGACGTCCCGGTATGGAACAATAGTTAGTGATGCTAGACTGGTTAACCATCACAAAGTTTAATCTTTCCTGGTTTTCTTCTATAAAAACTGACATTAACCCAAAAAGAGTTGACATGTCGAAAAATCAAACATGATCGTAGTAGCGATTTTCCAAGCGTAGCTTAGATGTGGCACAAGGCCGAAATTATGGGATCGACTCATTACTCAGTCGTAATTATTCTAACAAGACAAGCTTGCTAACCATTAGACCACCTCGAGGTGCTCCAAATTATTTTCTAAGCGTATCTTAGATGTGACACACAGGCACCCAACGAGGATCGAACTCACTATTCAGTCGCAATTATTCTAGCGAGATAAGCTAGCTAACCATTACACTATGACAACGTGCCCAAATATTATCTTCTAAACGTAGCTTAGATGTGGCACAAGGCCGAATGCATGGTACACCTAGTGAGGATCGAACTCACTTTTCAGTCATAACTGATCTAGCGAGACAAGCTTGCTAACCAATAAACCACGCCAAGCTTCCAAAGTATTTTCGTAATAACTACAAAATCAACCAAATAAATACAGGCAAACATTGGAAATTGTTATGTAGATGCTTACAACTACAACAATTTTATGTGCCAAAATGAATGTTACAAACATAAATATTGTACATTATAATCGTTAATATTGTTGAAGGAGAAATATATTTCAAACTATTACCGAAAAGGGGAGACAAATATTTATATTCAGTAAAACGTGAAGATAATCTTTTATTCGTTGCCTATAAGAGAGAAAACATGGCACCTATTCCTCCAAGAACTTAATGATAATAATGACATTGATATTGAATGGAAAGAGCTTTATAATTAATAACTAATCTATAATATGAAACGGAACATTTTTAAGCGTGGTAATATTATAATGAGAAAAGACATGACATTACAATAACGGCAAGAACAATGACAACAATACATGGTGAGATTTTCAAATATTCTCTATTCGTTGGGATCATAGTTCAATTCTGATTGGTTGAGCCACACCTTCTCAGTGGCCAGCTGTGGGAGCAAAGAATGCGAGGTCAAATCGGATTAGTTTCAGTGTCGAATGATCCGAAATCCCTTTGTGGAGTTTAAGGTGAAGCAAGATCAATCAGTTGAGCCGCGATTTTTGTGTGTTTGTAGCGTACTTAAATCGCAGACTTAAGTCTGGTTTGATCTGATACGAGGCTTAATCTTAATTATGCACCAGTGAGTCTTGGTTTATTTAGCGAAGATCTACCTGATCTATAAGTAAGCAGGAAGTTAACTTACAATTTTCTATCTTTATGCAAACACATACACGCACGCATATATGTGTGTGTATCTGAGTGTGCGTGCATTATATATATATATATATATATATATATATATATATATATATATATATGAATATATGTGCGTATATATTTAAACACAAATAAATATATTTGTGTACGTGCATACGCATATATATGAATATACGTATATATATATATATATATATATATATATATATATATATATATATATATATATGTATATATATATATAAAATGAATGCACAGATATATATATTTAGGCGTTTGTTTACATCTATCTAATTATCTGCTAAATGTATGTATGTATGTGTGTATATATATATATTTTATATGTAAGCATTATATATATATATATATATATATATATATATATATATATATATATATATATATATATATATATATATATATATATATATATATAAACAAACGAGTAATTGAAAAGTAACTCACTATTTTACGAATGATGGACTCACTCGTCTAATTATAATTCTTACAAAATGGGTGAGTCCATCATACAAAAATAGTGAGTTACTTTTCAATTACTGTGTGTATATATATATACGTGTGTGTTTAATTACTCTGCGTGTATATATATATATATATATATATATATATATATATATATATATATATATATATATATATATATATATATATATATATACATATATATATATGTGTGTGCGTGTGTGTTAATATGTATTTATATATGTGCCTATAAATGTATTCCATTTACTATTAATATGTGCATTGGCCTATATGTAGATAAAACTCTTTATGTGTGTGACTATGTGTACTGAGTAAATGTACGGATACTATATTAAATGTGTTTTCTTCATATATTATAAACAAAGAACAAAAAGAGAAAGAAAAAGAACATATTCGCAAACACTGGGTACTTTTTCCAGCATTCGGATTGGTTCTCTCCACTCCAACCTATCAACGGTATTCTTTTTTTTTCAGTATACCACACATGTTAAATACTTGTTTTTAACAGTGTGAGATAAAGATTCAGGTATGATTATAAAGAGACAGAGTCGCACATGTGTATACACGTATTTACGTAGATACGTTTATGCAAGGACATTCATACAGAAAATCACACTGCGCTACACAATTTCGTTTTTTCTCTCCCTCTTTCTTTCCTTCTTTCTTTCCTTCTTTCTTTCTTTCTTTCTTTCTTTCTTTCTTTCTTTCTTTCTCAACCATAACATATGCTTGCCGAGTATCAAAATAGAAGTCCGTGAACACTGTAAAAGAAAGAAATATAACAGATTATCCAGTTTGGATAAGCAAAGTATGGTTCAAAATGTGGGGAAATATAACGAAATTTAGGCGATTTAATTTACCTGCCAGGACAGAACCTGCGTTAAGAAATGTTTCTACAGAAAATATAACCTTAATAGCATATATATATATATATTGCCTATGGATGCAATAATGTAGATTGATTCATGCCCCCCCCCCGCCACGTATCCTCAGATATTCCAACGCATTATCCCTTAAATACAGTTTTATCCTTCTTTTATTCTAACCTTTTAGAAGCCACTGAGAGTTGATTTTATTTTTATTTCCACACTGCAGAATTCCGGTTGCAATATTTATTCTCTTGTCTGTGTTTACTTCACCCTTCGGTTATTATAATCTTTCGATACAATCCAACCTCTTTAATCCGGCATTCAGATGGTCTCTTGCTTTTTTTTATCCACCCACCATTAGTTCGTTCAGCTCCACACGTTGTTTACAACATTGTGCAGTAACCGACTGCGGTGTTGCATTGTGGTGATACTCTCTTGTTCATTTCTTATGTATATATAGCAGGGCAGTAAATATATATTAACTTTTGATTCTAGGTTTCTTTTTTATAGCCTTTATGGAACGCTCATATTAGAGAAGGAAAATATTCTTCATCGCTGGAACGAGTATATTGGAGAACTCTTCCACGACGAAAGAGAACATCCAGCAATACACAGAACTACTGACGGACCTGGAATTCTAAAAACCGAAGTAGAAACTGCTCTGGTCAAATTGAACAGAAACAAGGCGGCAGGGCCAGACGGAATTATAACGAAAATGCTGACAGCTTTAGATGATTTTGGCATAGACAAGATCACAGAAATAATAAATGAAATCTACAACATTGTGGATATATCGAAAGATCTCAACAGGTCTATTTTCATAGCACTGCCTAAGAAAGAATTTGAACTCCACCGAACAATTAGCCTGATGAGCCAAGTAACAAAACTCATCATCTATATTCTGATGAATAGAGCACGCAGCAGAATCAGGCCAGAGATAGGACAAGAACAGTGCGGGTTCGTTAAAGACACTGGAACAAGGGACGCGATATCCATGCCCACAATGTTATCAGAAAGATATATACAAACGCAGAAGGACGTATTTCTATGAATTAGACTACACAAAGGCGTTCGACAAATTATGCCACAAGGGTCTGTTGTTACTGCTCAGCAACCTTCATATATTTGGGAAAGTTATTAGAATAATCAAAAACCTATACTGGAAGCAAACGGCATGCATACACATGGAGATTGACTTCAGCAGATATACAAAAATAGAATGGGGTGTTAGGCATGGATGTGTCTTCTCACCAGACTTATTCGACCTATACAGTGAGGCAATTCTGAGAGAATTGGAAATTATACCGGGATTCACCATTGGCATCCACAATCTAAACAACATAAGATACACAGATGACACAATACTGATGGCAGACACGGAAAAGAAACTACAAGACTTCCTACAGAAGGTAGTGAGGAGAAGGGACTAACTATAAACTGTATGAAGACAGTAAATGAATGAGCCCAAAATCCGATTTGCAGGTCAAGGACACAAAAATCAAGCAGGTGCATAAGTTTAAATATCGGGGAAGTGTTTTGACAGCGAACGGTAAATGGGACGCTGAGATCCTAAGACGTATTCGGATGGCCAAAAGCTAGGCAAAGTATTACGAGACATGGGCATTTCTTTGGTAACAAAGAAAAGAGTGCTGAGTTGCTACGTGACATTTGTTCTCCTTTACGACAGCGAATGTTGAACGATCTCCTCAAAGATGAAGAAGAGACTCGAGGCAACGGAGGTATGGTTCTACAGAAGGATGTTAAGTATATCATGGACCGAGCGTGTGAGCAACGATGAGGTTTTGGAGAGGATGCAGACGAGGAGGAATCTTATGCATAGCAGTTTAACAGAAGAGGCAGTTGAAATTTCTGGAACACGTAATGAGAAAGGAGGGCTTGGAGAATCTGATACTCACAAGTGGAATAGAAGGAAAGAGAGACAAGGGAAAGCAACGCATGACATACCTAGCGGAGTTAAGCAATTAGGTGACAGAATACGGCCTGGAGAAAATAGCAAAGGGACAAAGCATATTGAGCGCTACAAGGGATAGGAGGCAGTGAAGAGCCATGATCGCCTACGTCCTAAAGAGACACGACACATAAAAAGAAAAATTGCATAGAACAATTAAAAAAAACTTGTTTCGAGGCATTAATGATTATTTTATTTCCTGTTTTAAACTTTGTTCTAACGTTGATAAGTATATCAACTAAAATTTGCAAATCATTAATTAACTTCAGGAAGAGGTTGGTTGAATAATGGCTATTCTACAATGTATTAAATGAAGATTACGCATTCTTTTTTGTATTGTACGAATAATTTTTTCACCCTTTAAAATGGATGAATGGGATTTATTTCTATTATGCATCTGTGTACACTTAAATATAAGAAGATTATGTTTATTCATTAGTTGGAAATAAATTAAAAATTTGTTAGTGTCCGAATATTTTTCCCTCCATTGTATATGTAGACGGAGATACGAGACTATGCTCACTTAGTTTATTATTAGGAGTGGTTTCTGTCATCCGGCATTTTTTGTTGTCCCTAAGTGACCTGGTCCCAAATGTGCCAGATAAAAGAGGAAGGACTGTATTCTTACTTGTGTAGTCCTCAAAACTTAACGCAGTCCTACAAATTAATCACTTTCTATTTCTTTACTCTTACAAACACATTTGTTAAATCATCCGTAAAATGGTTGGCTACCTTCTACATGGGCACTAATTTCTTCGTTCTTTCATCCAAATTTCTGTTTTCCTTTTGTCCTTTTTTGGAACGGCACCGAATATCTTACAATGGATATCACTTATGCATTTATTTGATTGGAGCAAGTTTCTGTAATTGAGTTTACTCTTCCAAATCTTTGTTCTGATGACAAATTCTTGACAACCTTTTTCTTCATGGCATTGTTTAAATGAATCAGCGGCCTCCATTTTTGAATGTTATAAAGTTTCCATACATTATCCTGCTGATTTTATTCTTTGTTTGTTGAATACCTCTGCTAATTAGATGTTGTGCTTTGTGCATCACAGATATTAAATGTCTTAATAAACTAAGCATAAAGCACTGGTGGTTACTGATTCGATAATTACCTTTTGCTCTTTTTTTCTTTCTTTATCTTCAGGTTCTTATATAGTATAGGTTTTTTTTCATTTCTGTTGTTAGTAACTTAGCAGGCTTTCTGATGGTTATGCCAACACTTCTTATTTGTACAAACGCACAAACACACACACACACATATATATATATATATATATATATATATATATATATATATATATATATATATATATATATATATATATATATATATATGAGTGGATATTGAAATGAACACCCAAAAGCGACAGTCTATTTCATGCTAAACGCATTCGTCATGGCTTGAAGATTGCGTTTAACATGAAACAGGCTGTCGCCTCTAGATGTTGAACTCAATGTCAACTTTTATAATTGCATACGCTCTATCCCTGATATTGAGCTCTTTAATCCATAAATATAGCATATCTTAAACCTATATTTTATCATATATATGTGTGTGTGTTTATTTATGTGTACGCGTGTGTGTGTACGTGTGTGCGTGTGTGATGAGGATATGTTTGCCTCGATATCCAAAAAAGTTAATGCCGTAAAATTTCCATTATAATTCTGCTTGTCCCTAACTTCGTTAGTTAGTTAGGTTTTTATTTAGTTCGCAAGCCCGTTACGCCCTGCCAATATTTCTTAAATAATGAACTATTTCGTTTTGAATGCGTTAAATAACGAAACTCAAAGACGTTACTTTGTTTCGGTGAGAAAATGGGAGAAAGCGAGAAAAAAAAACTAAAAGCAAACAAAGAATATATGTTTATGATAGAAATGTTTAACGTCTGTTTTCAGTGGAATGGAAAAATGTTGTCAATTTCAAATATTTTCATTTGTTCTTATAAATACATTTTTGAATAAAAATGTTTTCAGTTAGTGAATCCCATTTCTTAAAAACGCATCAAAATAAAAAATGATTTAAATATATAAGTATGTACAGTCATACACAAATACTTCGAACCTGTATATTCTTCGACGTGAGAACCACCTTAGGACTCGCAAAAACTCAAAATGAGCCAATCTGCTTGTGTCGACAACATATCAGCTATAAAAGAATATACATTCTTTTGTACTCGAAGATCAGCCGAAAAGTGCAGTATGCCAAGTAATATAAAGGCTATGGAGATCTCGATCTCAGGAGAATAAGATTTTATAACGCAAGTACATGAACCTTCAGTAAAATATAGGATGGATGTATTTTTTCATGCTGCTTACATCAAATTTTAGACTTTTTATCTGAGAATCACCACAGGAAACGGAACACATCAAAGTAGGCAACATTTTTCCAATCTTCTATTATCCAATTTTTGTAATTCTCTTCGAATCTTAGCCTTCATTTCTTGTTCTTATATGACAGGAGTGGTCTTCTGCTGCTGTAACAGATCTGCTTCAAGGTTTAACGTTTTGCATACACATTGATACAATTCTATACATCTTAGTTGTAAAAAAGCAGTTGATTTGGGTGACCGTTGCCTTTCTATCAGCTTGAACCAGATTGGCCATTTACCAGCGATCTCTTTCTCTACAGAAGATTTTTTTCCTAGCCTTTTTCTGTAAGTCCTAGCGGTAACCGTGTGTTAAAATATTAAATCAACATTTTTTTTAAATACACAGACTCGTCTGTCTGGCGCCAACTACGATGCCAACGCAACGTTTAAAGTCACAGGGATAATCATTCTTTCTCATACTAATGGATAAAATGAAATTCAGAAGATCGTTATGACCCTGTTTAAACTGTCCCAATATCATGTTTTTTCTTTAACTTACATTTGAGCATCTTAATCCTTATCAATAATTTGTTTTTGTCAGTGACGGAGATAAAATAATTTTAGGTGCATTCCAGCATTTTGGAGAGGTACATTCGATTCATATGAATACAAAGTGACGTCATGTGTAAAAAGCTTACTCTCTCTTTCATCATATCTCCCAACTTCTCTCTCTCTCTCTCTCTCTCTCTCTCTCTCTCAGTCTCCCACATTCTCAGTGTTTGTTTATATATATATATATATATATATATATATATATATATATATATATATATATATATATATATATATATATGATGGCTCTCTGGTGTGCATTAACGGTCATGAGGCGGACAATGGCTTATGTGACGGCAGGGAGGTTTACAAGATTTACAGAGCAGGCGGCAAATGTTGACCATTGATCGGTGGTTGGGTTGATACCTCCTGGGTTCGAAAGTTACAAATTTTCAGGTGTCATCCCATTCCAGATTGAATTGACAGTATGACGATTTATCCTAGTGTGTACAAGTAAGATCGTCGTTAACCTGAAAGCTTGGAAATTAAAACTGGGTGTCACTTTGTGATGTTTCACGCTACTGATGAGGCCTGCTTCGTTAAGACAAGATGAACGTGCATTCTGAACATGCAAATTGTGGTATATTTGCAACACGATGAAAAGCGAGAAAAATCAGTATCGATAATGCTTTCTTTATTACTATATAAACATAGATTATCTACGGTAGGTAAATGAAATAGTGGGTGGGTATGTGTTTGGCTACCATTAATCGTTGTCTTTGTAACCTCCTGGGAATTAAATTTTTAACACCTCGATCAGATTCTGGTGGTATATTAGAAGCTAATTGTATCAGCATAGAAGCACACATACAACATTATAACTTTCGGTGGGCAGGTCATTTCATACACATTGATTACAATTGTATGGTGAACTCAGCACAAATCATAATTGTTTGAAGGACCCACTTTGGATGATCCAAATTTTGAAGTGGTGAAAGAGGTGAAGATACTCGACAATCCAAAATTTAAGAGCAAACAACAAGCGAATAGCCAGAATGGGACAAAAAATCTATCTATCTATCTATCTATCTATCTATCTATCTATATATATATATATATATATATATATATATATATATAGATATAGATATATATATATATATGTGTGTGTGTGTGTGTGTGTATGTGTATGTCTGTGTGTCTGTATTTATATATATATATAAATATATATGTGTGTGTGTGTATGTGTATGTCTCTGTGTTTGTGTGTCTGTGTGTGTGTTTATATATATATATAAATATATATGTGCGTGTGTGTGTGTGTGTGTCGGCTGTAACAGCAAAATTGTCCACCTCGTATAACAGCATGCTATAATTGTCCGTCCCACAAAATGTTTAATATCCAAAAAATTACTAAACTAATTGAGTTTCTTTTTCCCAGGTTTTTCATATAACGTGTTTAGTCATCTGGACACCATTTTTCGTAAGATTCACTAAAAAAAAAACCTTTGGGTTTTTCAGCTAGAAAGAGAACAGTTTTAAATTGTTTTCTGTCAGACCCATTATGTCTTCCCACCCGACCAATGGTGAGAGGTAAAAAATCATTCGGACCTTCAGTAATGGTACCAACATTCATACTCTGGCTTCCATCTTCAAAGTCCTTTTAGGAATAATCAAGAGAACGGTGAATAACTTTTAAAAAAAGAACAGTATAGAGAAAAACTGGATCAGGCGGTCACAACAGCAAGAGGAATCATCATTTGAACTTAGAGCTAAATTTTCAAAGTAGAGACCAATAGTGTGTGTGTGTGTGATTTTGTTTGTGTGTGTGATTTTGTTTGTGTGTGTGTGTGTGTGTGTGTTTTTGTGCGCGCACACGTGTGGTAATAGCCATTGGTTTATAAAAAAACATTCGGCATTCATTAACCGATCAGCTTTTGTATTGTCGTTTCAAATATATTAAATCTTTCTCTTAAAACAAATTTTACAGGATAACAGATTTCTCAAGCCCAATAACTGTTATCGCTATTTCCAGTATTGCTGTGGATTTCCTAAATTTTTATTGAAGTAATGTATCTGAAACTGTTGTCGTTGGGGAGGGGCAGCCAGATTCTGGCTAATAGAGTGTCTGCCTGTGTCGTGTTTTTCTACCGTCAGGACACGTGCTGCTTTTTGGCATTGTCCCCGCGTTTTCTTCGTTTGCAAAGACAGTCTGCCCTATCTACAAAATAGTTGGGTCTTTTATAAATGCGCATGTCAGTGCGACGCTGACTACATAGGGCGGAACAATCAGCGCCTTGAAACGCGTGTTACACAACATGTACCTGGCAACATCATACAGGTTATGAATACCTGCAATTCACGTCTTACGCAGACGGCATAGAATTCCGCGATAGGTCAACACCTCTAGGATAATCCAGATTGTACGTATAAATACAATGATTTTGGGTAAAGCACGGTCGGCTAAGCATCTGCACATCTTAGAAGCAGTATACATTAAATTGCATCGACCTTCTTTGTGCCAACAGTAGAAATTTATTCGTTCTCTTTCTCTAGTAGGGGGTTTATCAGTCTATATTTTCCTTTTAAAACTCGATGGAACTGTCTGGAAAAGTTTATTCTGTTTTTGGGGGTTTTTTGGGGTTTTTTTTTTTTTTGCTATAACTCCTTTTTCTTCTCTTTCCCACGTTTTAATATTAAATTGTATTTTAATCGTAGTCCCTCGTCTCCTCCCAGTATGTGTATTTCCTGCGATTAACGTTACATTATATTATTCGCTAACGATTCATCTGATGAGGCGTTGTCCGAAAAAAGGTTACATTTTTTAAGGGAAAATTATCGGATTTTGTCAGTTTGAAACTATCTATAATTTCTCTGGTATCAGATATTTATTTAAATACACACATACGCATTATATATATATATATATATATATATATATATATATATATATATAATCTTGTATTACAAAACTAGAAATATAATGTCACGCTGTTTCATAATCCTTTTTAAATATATTTTTTCTCTTTATATTGCTCTTTTGGAAATCTTATCAATTTGCTTCGTGTTTTGTTTGTTTGTTTCCTAGATCTTCATTAAATAATTCTACTGACTTAACATTCACCTGATGGATATAATACTCTCAGTATTACAGAAGAGAAATAAAAGTTTTCTATTATCATCTTGTGTTGAGGACTATATTTATGATAGCAAGAATTTTTTATGCTCGTTTGCTGAACACCTTTCAAAAATTAGATAGATGAAGCACTCAATGAAATATGGGAATTGTCAAGAAGCAAAATTTACAAAAGTTCTATATTTCCTTTTCAATTTTAGGAAATTTAAGTTTTTATTTATCTAAAACTGTTTCGAATATTTTTCATCAGTTTTGCCAGAATTTCTTTTAACCCCAAAAATATATCTGCAGAAAACATAATTTTTATGAGATAATGAAAAAAATCTTCTACTTTTTACTAGTGTATCTTTCACCGTTCGTCATTTTCTATTGCGTTAAATAACAGTCGAACCAACCCCGTAACATGATTAAACCACTTTATCTAACAAAAATTCAGTCAATACTAATAAAAATGCTTGTTGGTTAATAAACTAGTGATTACCTAAAATTATGTTTTTCGGAGTTACCAATGTTTTCTGTCTTCTTTTTTCTTCAGATAAATTCCATATAGTCTTAATATATTCAATCGCTCTCTCCTTAAGCAAAAGGTCTAACAATTAATTTTGCGCAAAGATTTTATCCTATAAAATGAAAGAAAGGGGGAAAAACGTTTATAAATACAAGATGGTGAAGATAATCGAACAGAAACAACGCATAAAGACCTGAAAATAAATAGGAAATCACAGAATATGAAATATGAATTCTATGAAAACGAAGAAAGAAAGAAAAGCTATTGAAATTTATTGCGAGGAAGGGAAAGCGAATTGGGTTTTGAATGAAAATATATTTGGAGCAATTAAAAGGGCAGAAACGAAGGCAGCAATCCAATAAGAATAAGATAATAAAAACTAAATGCACATCATACACGGTTTCATGCGACAGAAGTGAAAGGAAAGAACGAAAAACAGAAATAAAAATGCATCTAAAAAAATGAGGAAATAAATATTTTTATAAAAAAGCCCAACGCGCAAAAAGAGAAATAAAATAAAATTCGGAATAAAAGACATGAAGTGAACAGAACTTTTAAGTAAATAAAAAAAGTGATAAGAAATGGAAGAAAGAAAGAAAAGAGAAAAGAAAACAATAGGATAAAGAGAGAAAAGGAAAGAAAGAAGAGAGAAAAGAGGATAGAAAAGAAAGAAAATAATAAAGAAAGAAACGTAGAAAAGAAAGCAAGAAGACAGAAAAGAAAGAAAGAAAGAAAAAAGAATGAAAGAAAAGTAGAAAAGAAAGCAAGGAGATTAAAAAGAAAAAGAAAAAAAGAAAGAAAGAAAAATGTAAAAGAAAGAAAGAAAAATAATAAATAAAAAGGGGAAAATGAAGCAAGAGGACGGAGAAGAAAGAGAAAAAAAAGAAAATGATAAATAGGAAAGAAAGAAAAGATACAAAAAATAAGAGGGTAGATTAGAAAGAAGAAAAAGGACGAAAGAAAAAATGTTAAAGAAAGAAAGAATGAAAAAATGTGACAACTTTAGGACGTTACAGTTAAAAAAAAGGAAACAATCACACATTTTAAATTCAGAAAATTGAATAGAAAAGAAAGTATATGGAATTTGTATGGAAGCTAGTTTCGAATAAATTTGCAGGAAAACGCGATTTCATAAACAGAAAAACATTTCTGAAAAACTCTACAAATCTTAGAAGAATGGAAACATACATGTGAAAGAAAAATGAAGAGAAAAGGAATCCCAACAGCGAGGTAGATGGAAAGACATGTGGTCCGCTATTGCAATCTCAGCTCCCTGTCTTGGGAATAGCGGCAGCTAACATGGCTGTCCACCCCCTTCCTGTTCGTTGATCGCTCGCTGAGCGTCCAATTTATTTGACAAATGGTGGCATCAGTTTAATCCTCTAAATCACGATGACAGAATAAATCACCAGCAGTTGGCCATCGGTGGGTGGAGAGAGAGCAACGCTAAAATGGCTGACGCACGTCTGTCTACTTTCGGCTGTCTGTATTCGTACCCACCAATCCGCTCTCTCGCTACTTGGCGTTTACATCCGAGAACAACCCTCTAATTCCGCCCTGGACGCTTGATTAGTACCAGCAG